AAAATCATTTTCCTGTCAACCGCTTTTGAGATAATACAAACGCTAAATAAAGCAACAAAAAGTAAAATAAGTTTTATATATAAAAAATAAACATTAGTATGTAATAAAGATTCTGTGAAAGTTGCATCAATTTTCATTCAGTGGTATGAGAGGATTTGCGGATAAGAGATGGGTACCCCAAAGCGTAACAGACGGAAGGACGGACGGACGTACAGACGGACGGAATTAACGATTACTATATACCCTCCTGCTTTTCAAGCGGGGGGTATAATAAAATCATTACAAAGAAAATTGATAACCTTTACAATGTTTAATTGAAACTTTCATCCTGCATTGATGTTCTAAGTTCAGAGCTACATGAGACAGCTTGATTCAGCAACTCTATAAATGGCCGACATTAGGCTGTTTACAGGAAATCAGAACTTTAAAGTCATTTCTTCACCGTATTTTTTCTTTGGTAGATAAACCATGCTCAAAATAATTATAGGTTGGAATGTTTTAAAAGTGTTCAAACAATTTGTATTAATTTGTAACAATTTGTATTAGATCTAATTATAACATTTTAGCGATGTATCATGTTTGCCAGTTTCATTCGATGTATTATCATCGGTGTGTACAACCTCAGCTAACGGATAATGAATACTTAACAGTGCAGCAAAATGACGGAAAAAGGTCTATAAACATATGTCCAATCTGCTTTATTCTCAATCGTAAATTATCTTAGAAAGTGGGACTGTAACTTACAAAATATACGAGCATCCGTATATTCATGACAAAATTTGCACGAAGTCACCAAAGAGATGGAGCAGACACGTGACACAGGAGAAGGGGGGGGGGGGTCGGATTTTTTCCTACATTTTTGTGTGCAACATAAGAAGTTAAACAATACAACAATAACAAAATCAATTGAGAAGCTCAATAGGCCTTTCTTCAAAATTTTCATTTTAAATCAACGGCTAAAAACTAATTTCGGAAGAAGTCAATCAAATCAAATACTCTGTGTTGTATCAAGAGAGAATATTACATTTTTGTTAACTAAACGTAACTATTTATCAATATCCTTGGCAAGCTATCAAAGATTATGTACAGTCCTTGCTACTTGCACAGAAAAGAACAATGAACAGGGATGCATTTTTCTAACTTACATCATCTACGGAAATGAAAAGAAATAATAATTTAATTCTAGTTATAACGCAGTATTTGGTTGGATAAAGAAATTATTTTTTATTGCATAATTTGGGTTATCTATGTCACAATCACATGCATCAAAAATATATCGATCCGCCTGACGCTACATTTTAATATTGTACTATTTGAAGTGATTTTTAATCGACTTTTTCTCATACACTAAATGAAGAAAAACTAAATTAAAAGGAATTAAATTAATAGCTACATAATTTATACAGTATAAACTTTGTTGGAACACTTTACACTTTTTTAAATATATAAACTCCCCAACTCGGTTTATATCATATAAATTGGATAGCTATCAAATTCATTCCTTAAATAAAAGAGAAGTAATTCATGTCATTTTTCACCGCATCTATTTAAAAAAAAAACTTTTCTTAGTATAATGCTTTTGTTTACTTTTTCTTGCTTATGCATATACGAGGGTTGTCCCATAAAATCGTGGACAAAGCGTTTTTCTCGAAAAGTAATGGGCGCACTAAGCTATGTTTATTCATCATATTTAAGTGAATCATAATGTTTTTGATAATATATATTTAAAAATAAAGATTTTATTCTGCTTGAATATGCACAAGGTATGGTCCTACGGCGCACGGTAAAAATAGCATGGTTATATTAGAGAAGACATAAGAATTAATTCGTAATAAAAGTTTTCAATACATAAGATTAGGATGAAAATTATCCTAGTTCCATTCCTTAATCAATTCTGTCATATTTTTAAAAATTTGAATGCATTTGGTTAGTTTTTGGCATTTTCCCGAGCAATCGAAATGGGAAAGTAATAAACACAATTCACGAAAAATGGCGATTTTTATGACGTATTGCGCACCGGAGAGCACCTTCAGATAATTAGGATGTTGTAATGACGCCTTAAGAGACTTTAAATGAATACGGAAGAAAGAAAATATGAAAAATATCACCAGATCTTTAGTGTATAAATGAAATGAAAGTTTTCTTAGTGAAGTCTTCGTGGTCCAGTCCCCAGATAGTACAAAACATATGGACAGACTGCCATTTGTAATAGCAAAGGACGCTGTCACTGTCGACCGTCGATGTGAGATTCTCCTTTAGTTGAATGATGGTGAGAATACTGTCTGCAACTTGCTAATAAATATTCAGAAGATCGCATGAGTGTGCCACTTGGTTTCTTAACTGGTTATAGATACTCACATATGTAAATCAATAAAATTTCTAAATTTAAATGGGGCTTATCCAACTTTAAGTTTAGCAAAGATGAAACGTGACGCTGTTTTAGACACTTTGACGTTATCATCCGTGCTCCGTAGGGCGATACTGTACATAACATAAAATATCACAATTTGTTTACCTATGCATATATCTATTTGAAATTTGCTATGTATATTCATAATTTATCTACTAAAAAGTGGTGAAAATTTCAGAACGCAGTGATGATTATTTTTCAAACTATACAACTTGTCCACGATTTTACGGGACAACCCTCGTATAACGATTAAACTGCTGCATATTAAATTAAAAAAAAAACGTATCTATAATAACTTGTCTGTTTGACCTTTTAAGATTAACCGACTAAAATTTTTTTAAAACCTCCAAAATATTCATTCCGGAATTTTCTCATCCCATCAACAACTTTTTTTTTTCATGCCTTCAATTTTATTCAACATTGAAAATCTCCGACGAAAAAAAAAAATTTCGACCTACCTATACCGACGCAATTATTTTAACCCGAATAGTGAGAGGGCAAACAAACTTCATTTTAAAAACGACCTTACTGGAATTTTTTAACCACGGCTGGACATCTTTAATAATATACACTTAATTGCGAAAAGGAAAGATCACACAGACAATTGAAGGAAACTAACTTCTTAGAGAATTAACTACATCAAACCACACCCAAAAATATTCCCTCTAGCATATAAATAATTTCCTTGTTTTGCTGGGGTAGAATTTCTCAATTCTCTCGAGGTGGCGTTTTTACGTCGATTTTACCTTGTTGACTTTAGACGCGTCTTTTGACGTTACGTCATAATAGAGATAAGGGAGGTTTTTGCTTGGCGCGTCACATATTCATATTTCACATAAATCTTTTGTTAAAAGATACATGATATTTACTCATTATGTCACTTTAAGTAAACATGTGCAGATAAGGTGCAGCTTTTACATATTACAGTAAAACTTGTTCAATACAAACAAGAATAATATTGCAAATTCATGGATATAGCAAAGATATCTTGGATCCTAAGCTTTATAAATTTAACAAATCCTTATATACAGATACATGGATTACGAATTGGGGTAAGATATAGTGAAGTAATTTTATAGGTCTATAAGTAACTTTGCTATAACCAAGTTTTACTGTACATGTAATACACACATTTGGATCATGAATGAATTAGGCTTACATTTGTACACATCTGGAGATTGAAAATCAGCACCTGAACAGGTCCCTCGCTGAAGGTCACAAGGCTCCACATCTAATTTTTCAGCATTCAGGTTATACACAGGACAGTAATCTAAATTGCAAAAAAAATTAAAATAAAAAATCATCAAGCATACATGTATGTTTAGGCATAAAATTGTAAAAAGCATTTTTAGAGTATTGTATAAGCATTACAATACTGAGTCCCCAATATTGGTTTGGTCATTCATTACTTAGTAATTCTGATAAAAATCATTAAAGACAATTGAATTGCAAACTTGAGCTATGATTACAAAGGGTTTGGAAATCAATAAGATATTCAAGTTGATTTAAACATGTCTAGATTAGGGAGTGAAAGTTACAGTTGATTGACCAATGCAAAGAAGTGGATTAATTCTCCAAAAACAGAAAATACTGCGTAGAAATTGCACTCTGCACTACAGGATTTGTAGTGTTATCATCACATACTATTCTATAAAGCCAGAACGCTACATGCGGGTCTGCAGCTACAGAAAACCAAATAGGACAGAAAGAAAACCATTTTTAATGGTTAAGGGACTAAAATAAGTAATCAGATAATATACAAAACTTAATAGTGATAATATTTAACCTTGAACAGAAAAACTCAGCCAAAGATTGGAATACAATGTATTTCGCTTCAATACACATGTAGTACATAGAACCTTTGTAAATATTCAATCTCTAGACATCAGTGTGAAGATGCAGTGATCCAGTGTTGTCACTGTTGTGCCATAGCATACATCAGGCGCGGATCCAGAAATTTTTTCCAGGGGGGGTCCATCCCAGTAAAAAAAAAAATCCAATTTCGTGACAAGCAAAAAAAAAAATAAAATCGCCGAAACGTCAAAAACCTATTTCGTGGGGTGGGGGGGGTATTGGTGACTTTTATAGTGGTGACTTCTATTGCCTCAAATCTCACTTTTCATACCCATTTCATACATATTCGCGCTTACCAGAGGGGGTCAGCGTTTTCCAGGGGGGGGGGGGGCATAGTAACTTTTTTCTTGTTTTAGTAAATAAATTTTTTTAACCTGGTCAATTCCAGGGGGGGGGGGGGGGGTCCTGACCCCCCGACCCCCCCTCTAGATCCGCGCATGGCATACATGATCCAGTGTTTTCACTGTTGTCATGATTCAGTGTTGTCACTGTTGTGCCATAGCTGCATACATGATCCAGTATTGTCACTGTTGTGCCATCGCTGCATACTTGTATGCAGCAATTGCACAATAGTGACAACACTGGATTGGAATACTGCATCTTCATCTAAATCAAGAGTTTGTTCTGGACCTGGTATTTCGAGAACAATAAATATACATTGGGGGGAGGGGTGACAACGATTAATTGACTAATCGGCCGATGACTGGCAAAAAATTTAAGTTTCAAGCCCTGAAAATTTTAAACGCTTACTCGGTGGAACCCAGATTAATCCAATACAAATTTCGCCCGGAACACGCCCATTGTTTGGAATGCAATGGTATGCAGAACCACTTGAACAGCTGACATTTGATTTTCTTATGTTCCATGCTGCTTCGTTTAAAGGACAACTATCACCGATAGCTACAGGGTGAAACATATTTCTTTAAAAAATGAATTTTACAGACTGAAGAAATCTAGCATGACTCACAAGTTCGAAAATTTCCTACTTTCGTTTTCGATAGGTGAACGAACTTTCGAAAGGTCACATGACCAAAATATGGCGAGCTCCACTGGAAGAGTTTCCAGTATTTTCAGGTCGGGGTTATTCAACGGAAAAGTGGCTATTGTGACTGGTGGGAGCACTGGTATTGGTCAGGCAATAACCCAGGAACTCACACATTTAGGTATGTTTATTATATTTCGGCGAAATCATTTGATTTCAGATTTGTATATGCGATTATTTCGTAACTTTGTCAAGCAATATTTATTGAGAACTATTGAGACATGATTTAGGTAAATAATTGTTAGACTTTAATTGAAAAAATTATAAACAGGATGCAAAGTTATGATAGCATCTAGGAATGCGGAGAGACTTTCTTCAGCAACAGCTGATATTAAGAAAAATATCCCAAATGGGAGTCCAGCAGAAATAAGCAATATTCCATGTAACATTAGGAAAGAAGATCAGGTAGGAATTGGTTTGAACTATACATGTATATTCAATTGTTAGATTTGTACTCTTCATGATTTAGAAGTCTGTTTATTTTTTAAGAGAATACTTTAATATCTATTATCTTTGAATTCAATCTTGATGCAATCAATTTAATATGTATACAATTCAGAAATTTTGCATTTCAGGTTGAAAAAATGGTTTCAGAGACATTGTCAAAGTTTAGTAAGATTGACTTCCTTGTAAACAACGGAGGTGGACAATTTCCAGGACCTGCCTCTTCTTTTAGTCTAAAGGGCTGGAATGCTGTCATAGAGACAAATCTCACAGGAACATTTCTGTGTTGCAGGGAAGGTATGTACATGTTTTTACATTTCAACTTCAAAATTAATATCATTTTAAAAAACATTTGTGCTTCTTTACATCATGATCACTCAGTCACGGTGTAATTGGCATTCTATATTCAGGTATTATAAACCTAGAATATATCTTTAAAAATAATACAGCAATTTAGTACAATAAGTCAATTTTCTGTCATCATGGACTTTCATTAAAGTGTGTCATTCTCAATGCTACATAATTAGCATCTCTAAAATGGCACCATTGTAGATATCTCAATGGTCAAGAAATTAATAACGTCAGCAATTTCAAATTATCGTTGACAATGATGAGACAACTTAAGCCCCGCCTCTTTGTCATACAAAACGTTATCACTGGATCCTTGCTAAACTCGTTGACATTCACCAAAATTTCTAATCCCATGTATGTTTTAACAGTAAATGAAAAGCTGAGACAACTTAAGCCCCGCCTCTTTTTCATACAAAACGTTATCACTGGATCCTTGCTAAACTCGTTGACATTCACCAAAATTTCTAATCCCATGTATATTTTAACAGTAAATGAAAAGCTGTGTAAATTTCGAGGGATTTGACAATGTTTGTGTTTCTAAAAACTGTGAATGTACTTCATTGATTTAAAGTAAAAATATTAATTAAAATCAAAGAAAACAAAATGTGTTTGTGAAAAACTGATGAGGGGCAACTTATAGCAAAGGTTGAAGTTTCTCCAATGCAAGTCAAACTCCAAAGTCAAAAGGTAAAAAATTTTTGTATCAAGAGGAAGGTCTTTGCAGAAGGAATACACCTATAAAATTCAAAAGCAAAATAACTTTTGAACAGTTAGTACTAATTAGTACTAACTGTTCAAAAGTTATGGCCAATTAAGGTTAAATTTTTTTACAAAGTGGGTCAAATTGTAAGGTCAAGGTCAAAAATATTTATACTAATTGAAAGTCTTTTCACAATGAAAACACAAGTGAAGTATTAAGCCCTAGCACCAACTGTTCAAAAGTTGGGTCAAGGTTTTTTAGGTCACCTGAGTAAACTCAGGTGACCTTTTGGTATCCGTTTTTGTCCGTTGTTTGTCATGCATTAACATTTGAACATTTTCAGCTTCTTCTCTGAAACCACTGAACCACTTTCAACCAATTTTAGCATAAAACAAAATTTTTAAATTTCATGGTCCCTGCCCCCCTGCGACCTGGGGGGTGGGGCCAAAACCACTAAAATTAGTGCAATCTTTAAAAATCTTCTTTACTCCTGGACATCAAGCAGTCAAACTGTTGGCATGATTGTTATCAGCATTTAGTCCTCTACCAAAGTTGTGAAATTCATGGCCCAAGGGTCAGGAGTTCTAGTGCTAGGGCAGGGCTATATTGATTATATAGTGAAAATGCATTATTTCTTTGAAAATCTTCTTCTCTGCTCCTGGTTATCAAATAAACTGACTAAGTACATATATTTGTAGTTATGATGAGCAAGAGTGCTTCTACCAAAATTGTGAATTTTATGGCCCCAGGGTCAGGGGTTCAGGTGTTGGTGAAAATGCATTAATTCTTTGAAAATCTTCTTCTCTGTTCCTGAGTATTAAATGAATTAACTTAATACACTAAGTACATAGTTATGATGAGCAAGAGTGCGTCTTCTAAAATTTTGGATTTTAGGACCCCAGGGTCAGTGGTTCTGGTGTTAGGGCGGGGCTGTATTGGTTATATAGTGAAAATGCATTAATTCTTTGAAAATCTTTTTCTTTGCTTCTGGGTATTAAATAAACTAACTTAGTACATAGTTATGATAAGCAAGAGTGCCTCTTTTAAAATTGTGAATTTTAGGGCCACAGGGTTGGGGGTTCTGGTGTTAGGGCGGGGCTGTATTATGATTATATAGTGAAAATATATTAATTCTTTGAAAATATTCTTCTCTGCTCCTGGGTAATAAGCAGATGAAGTACCTATACAGTTATGATGTGCAAGGGCTCTTCTTCCAGAATTGTGAATTTCCAGCCCCTCCCCCCCTCTGGGTCAGGGATACCATAGAGGGGGGCTCTACTTATATACTGAAAATGAATTGTTTGAAATCTGCTCCTTGGTATTAATCAAACATTTTTGAGAAACAAGTGTGCCTTTTCAAAAATTGTGCAGTGTATGGACCTAGGGTCAGGGGTTCATGTGTGGTAGGGGCACTTCTGATTATAGCTGAATATTACCGATTAGTTGATATGCATTTTTTGTTCCCCTACCCTGCCCATGGGTATTAAGGAGACTTGGGGGTCAACAAATTAACCACCAGATATAACTTCAATTTTTAGATACTTTAGTTGTCAACTATCATTTGACAAAGAAAAATTTCATACATATTAGTTATAAAATATGATTATTATGGAGCTCTTCTTCTAAAAGTGATCAAAATAGTCTAAAAATGGTCACAACCACCCAGACCCTTTAGGTAACCAAAACTAAGCAATTGCTAAGTTTATAGTTATGATTAGCAATGGTGCCAGCCTCTTTCAAAATTGTGAATGCCATAGCATCTACCTTAAAACATGAACCAAATTCAATCATTTGAAAGTTGTTGCAGTCTTTTGTTTTTAGTGTTTAACCAGTGGATGGGCCAGCATGGTGGTGTTATTATCAACATCATTGCTGATATGTGGAATGGACTTCCAATGATGAGGTAATTAGAGAAAATTTATTTCATATATCTATCTTAGGCTCACTTTGATGAAGTCATAGCTATCCCCATGGCTTCATGGGCTGGTGATGTTTCAAATGCTATAATAATAGAAGTAAGCCCTACCTTGAGCAGACTTGGATGGATATAGGGTCAGAAACTTTTAGACTTGCGTGGATGCTGGATGACCTACATTTTACAGATGAGTGACCAGGTGAAAATTTTGGAGCAAGTGCTCCAAAGTCACTAAGTGGACCAAACTGGAGAAATGTAGATTTGCTTCAGATGCTCGATCTAGCAACATGCAATTCTGGATAAGTGAACAGGTATAAGTTTATGAAGCAGTTCAATTCCCAAGAAACTATGTTTTCCTCTATTTTACAAAACTCAAAGGTACATGTATGATGTATATAGGAATTCATTACCCAACCTGTTTCAGGTGCGGGAGTCTTACCTACTCTTTCAAATGAGTGAACAGATGCAAGTGAATTCAGGTCAGTCAGATGGACCTGACCTACTTTGTCAGATGGGTGAATATCTGAGCCAAACTTGCATGGATGATGCATTTTGGGATGAATACTGGCATATTTGCTTCAGATTTTTGTTCTATAACCTTAATTCATTTACCAGATATGTGAACAAGTTTCAAAGTTTGTTCATTCCCAAGAAACTATATTAAAGTCTTATTCAAAATGATTAAACTTTTCAAGTAAACTTCCATGGAAATATGGCTGAAATATTGCCAACTCTGCATTTAACAATATACAATCAACAGGTCAAGACCACTACCTTATATGGAAGGCAATTTTCAACACGTGACGATGTCTTCGTCACACCCGTTCTCCAATCAAGTGAATGAGTCCCAAAGCATGACAGCCTACTAGAGAACACCAAACACGCAACGAACGAACGTATCTCGACGATATTAACCGTATTATTGCTTTATAAATACCATCACACGCTTTATATTTATTTTGTAATTATTTCAAAGGCAGATCCAGCACCGGCGCGCCGGGCGTGCGCCCCCTCTCCCATTTGATTTTTAGCTCACCTCAACGAAGTTGGGGGGAGCTTATGTGATACCCTCGGCGTCGGCGTCGGTGTCGGCGTCGGTGTCGGCGTCGGCGTCCCAGGTTAAGGTTAAGTTTTTTGGAGCAGTTTTCTTTTTAATTACTTCTGTGTCCTATACTGATTAGACATGCATGGAAGATGGTTTTAGTGTGTTTTATTGTACCAGACAAAGTTTCAGATGCTGCAATTACCAGGTTAATGTTTTTGGAGCAGGTTAACATTTTTGGTGCAGTTTTTGGTGTGGGTTTCATTTCCAAGTAACTATAAGCCCTATGTTGACCAAACTTGCATGGATGATACATCTAAGGATGCATACTACCGGGCTTGCTTCGGATGCTGAATCTGACCTACATTTTCCAGTTGAGTGAACAGGTTAAAGTTTTTGGTGTAGGTTTCATTTCCAAGTAACTATAAGCCCTATGTTGACCAAACTTGCATGGATGATACATCTAAGGATGCATACTACCGGGCTTGCTTCGGATGCTGAATCTGACCTACATTTTCCGGTTGAGTGAACAGGTTAAAGTTTTTGGTGCAGGTTTCATTTCCAAGTAACTATAAGCCCTATGTTGACCAAACTTGCATGGATGATACATCTAAGGATGCATACTACTGGGCTTGCTTCGGATGCTGAATCTGACCTACATTTTCCGGTTGAGTGAACAGGTTAAAGTTTTTGGTGCAGGTTTCATTTCCAAGTAACTATAAGCCCTATGTTGACCAAACTTGCATGGATGATACATCTAAGGATGCATACTACCGGGCTTGCTTTGGATGCTGAATCTGACCTACATTTTCCGGTTGAGTGAACAGGTTAAAGTTTTTGGTGCAGGTTTCATTTCCAAGTAACTATAAGCCCTATGTTGACCAGACTTGCATGTATGATACATCTAAGGATGCATACTACCGGGCTTGCTTCGGATGCTGAATCTGACCTATATTTTCCAGTTGAGTGAACAGCTTAAAGTTTTTGGTGCAGGTTTCATTTCCAAGTAACTATAAGCCCTATGTTGACCAAACTTGCATGGATGATACATCTAAGGATGCATACTACCGGGCTTGCTTCGGATGCTGAATCTGACTTATATTTTCTGGTTGAGTGAATAGTTAAAAGTTTTTGGTGCAAGTTTCATTTCCAAGGAACTATGAGTTCTTTAATGACCAATCTTGCATAGATGATACATCTAAGGATGCATACTTCCAGGCTTGCTTCGGATGCTGAATCTGACCTACTTTTTGTGGATGAGTGAGTTTTGATGCATGTTTCATTTCCAATAAACTATGAGCCCTATAATGAGCAAACTTGCATGGATGATACATCTAAGGATGCACACTAATGGACTTGCTTCGGATGCTGAATTGAACATACATTTTTCAGATAATAGACAAGGTAAACGTTATGGTTCAGGTCTATTACCAAAAACTATAAGGCTTATATAACATTGTATAACCCAAACTTGCACAAATGCTGCATCAAGAGATGAAAACTCTCAAGTTTGCTTCAGATGCTGGATTTTCATTACATTTTCATGAAGAAGAAGTAGTTTAAATTTTTATGTAGGTCTATTTCAAAGTATCAGATCAAAATTGCTTTTAATAAAATATTTTCATTTTTGGAATGTATACTTTTTGTCGATTAATTGTGTGACTTTGCCTTACTTAAAGACAACATTCGTTGAGGTGAGCTCTGTAATCTCTGATTACCTATGTTTTAATTTTGTTTTGCATTATCTTCAAACCAACAGGAAAACACCTCTAATTTGTTATAGAGTTCCTCAGTTTCCCGGGGCTTCGCTACCAGGGCTGTGTCCTGGACCCACTGGGGGCTTTAATGCAGCCCCAAGACTTCCAAGTCTTATACTGCCACCCCCCCCCCCCCCCCCCCCCCCGTTTTGAAATTCCTGGATCCACCACTGAAGAAATATTTAGGCAGTTTCAGGGCTAATACATATTTCTTCACTTCCTATTAAGATATGAACAACCAATTTAGGGTTATTATATCTATGTCGGGTTCCTTATATCAACACCCTAGATGGGAACTTGCATCTATTGTTAAATTGTTCTCAGTTCTTGCAAAGCGTCGTAGTAATAATTGTTACAACCAATAAGTATGGCACGCCAAATTCACAAAAATGAGGTAGACATAGTTTCACACTTGATAAACTAGATTTATCAACTGTAAACTATAGTTTTAAAAACCGTAAACTATAGTTAACAATTGGTTAACCATAGTTTTTATCTGTAAAACTATATTTAACAGTTTTTAACTATAGTTTACGAATGCTAATCTAAGTTTATCTGTATGTAAGAGAACGTCAACGATAGATTTTGTTGATAAACATAGATTCACGTCTGTAAACTATAATTTACAACCGTGAACTTAAAGTTAAGAGTTGTTAATCATAGTTTTTCGAGTCCCCCCTTTCTTATAAATGAAGCTACGGACTTGAGGTGGCCATGGTGTGATTCTATGCCACCTCAAGTCCGTAGTTTCATTGATAAGAAGGGGGTGGGGCTCCAAAAACATTTGACAAGCAAAAAAAAAAAAAAGACACATATAAAACAAAAGAAAAAAACTATACACCACTTTTTAAAATTGGGAGGGGGTAGAGAGGGCTTGGTGTCACTTTTCTGTTCGGTACATTACTTTCAATCTTGAATCTGTTTATTTTCCAGCATCAAAAGATGTGGAGGGAGCTTCCAAAACAAAATACAACTGTATTTTTTAAAACTGCAGCAAAAGATTATTTTCAAAAAAAGTGAGCCCCCTCCTTCTGCATACTACAGAAACATTTTAACATTTTTCTATATTGATTAAAAATAATTAGTATGCATACTTCTAAAAGTTAGTTACTTCTGAAGATGGTCCAAAAATGGTACAGCTAGAGTTCGATGGAGTCTTCCTTGCATGTTACCTTAGACGGGGTTGTGAAGGTACATGGAGGAAAGTAAATACGCAAAAATCTACAGATCAAGCGAGCAGAAAGGACAGCGATTTATTTTTTATTTTTCAAATGATTAGACGTATAAATATCTATTACAGAAAAGCTTTTCTCTCTCTCTCTCTTTCTCTCCCTCTCTACAAAAATAGGTGGGGTTCAAACCCACGGAACCCCCCTCTGGTCTGTCAATGCTTTAATATAATATGGATTAATTTTCATTTATTATAAGTTTATTAAAAGGAATCAATAAAAACACACCTGAACATATGCATATATTTATATCATACTGGTACATGGAACACCAACGCGATCATACTTATCAAATTGACAAATAATTTTAATTCTATACGTGTGATTCGTCCGTACGTTTCGTCAGTTACACAGGTAATCACAAAGTAAACAAGTTTACCGTTCGTTAAACCGATATTCGTTCGTTACGTGTTTGGTGTTCTCTACTACGTGTTTACGATTCAATGGCGACACGTGGTTTTTGTCGGTCTAGTGCACAATATTTAACTCGTCACCGGAAAAACTGTAGAGCTTCTTGATCACTTTGTAAGACCGAAATCGAAAGATTATATTCTAAAGACATTGTTCCATGCTCACATTTAATATTAGAGGTGTTTTAGATGATAAATAGTTGCTTCGGATACCGTACGAACGCTTTGACGTTTGCATGTACATAAAACACTTTCTGATAATATTGAGGGGTTAAATAATAATTGCACGTCATCTTCTCCTGCTGTCTAAAACCAAGGACCTATATACTACCTGCTAAAACTATGTACACGTATATCACGTGAAAAAATTTAATGTTTTACCGACACGATAGCACCTATGTCTGTTTGAACAATGGATTAGGCCGATGTATTATAAGTTGATATAAGTCTTCATAAAGAAATTTTGTGAATGTGAGCATAGAAATGAAAGATTATACACCATTTTAAATATTTCTTTCACAAATCTCCAAAAAAGAATCGAAAATAAGTTTCCAAGGGACAATTCAAGTTGTCCTTTATTTTCAACACAGCTGAGTACTTGTAGTAGCCCACAATGCATTGCGGCTCATTCAGCAGTAGGTAAAGTAAACATGCAAATAGCTAATTTACATGCAAATTTATGCCGACGGTCAGAAAATCTAGTGGTCTCGACCTGATCAATCAATCAAAGTACGCTTGCATGGATGTTGACTTTCATATGCACATTAACTGGAGAAAATTTTGTGTATATACGAGTAAGATTTACATTAAGGTATCTGTACATGTACATGATGTATATGGTATTTTTTTTATCAATAAATTAGCTTGTCACTCCTCGTTTTTCTTCTTTTTTTTTTAAGAGAGTTATTTTTAGCTCACCTTGACGAAGTCGAGATGAGCTTATATGCTATACCCCTGGCATCGGTATCGGCGTTAGCATTGGTGTCCTGGTTAAAGTTTTAGGAGCAGGTCCATTCCCAAGTAACTATAAGCCCTACCTGGACCAAACTTGCATAGATGATGCATCTAGGGGTGGACACTACCAGACTTGCTACGGATGCTGGATCTGCCCTAGTCATTTTCCAGATGAGTGAGCAGGTTAAAGTTTTTGGAGCAGGTCCATTCCCAAGTAACTATTAGCCTTACCCGGACCAAACTTGCTTGGATGATGAATCTAGGGATGAACACTACCAGACATGCTTCGGAAGCTGGATCTAACCTACATTTTCCAAATGAGTGACCATGCAGGTTAAAGTTTTAGGAGGAGGTCCATTCCCAAGTAACTATAAGCCCTTCCTAGACCAAACTTGCATGGATGATGCATCTAAGGATGAACAATCAAAACTTGCCTTGGATGCTGGATCTGACCTACATTTTCCAAAGGAGTGACCAGGTTAAAGTTTTTGGAACACATCAATTCCCAATGTACTTTAAGACCTATTTAAACAGAACTTGCTTGAATATTGTTGTCAGAATAAATACTAACTGTTAAGATAATAATATGATTTGAGATTCGCATTACTTAGACTGATTACATTCGTTGAGAGAGCTTCGTAATCTTTGATTACCTATGTTAGAGTTTTACATGTTATTCATGTACTACTGTGAAGCTAACAATGTGCAGATATTTGTAAGTCACACAGGAGCAGCACGATCAGCCGTGGACAATCTGACAAAATCTTTGTCCTTGGAGTGGGCGGCCTCAGGGGTCAGGGTCAACGCTGTAGCTCCTGTAAGTACTACTGTTAAAATAGTAATAATCAATTTGTTTTTAGCTCTACTGGTCAGAGACCAGAAGAGCTTATGCGATAGTAATGCGTCCGTCGTCCGTCCGTCTGTCTGTCTGTCCGTCTGTCTGTCTGTCTGTCTGTCTGTCTGTAAACAATTTTTCAAAATGCTACTCCTCCTACAGTTTTGGTCCGATTTCAGTATAACTTGGCACACAAGTAGACTACACTAAGATACATAATTTTGTGCATCGGTTTTTGATTTCGATGAACGGTGTTGCCGTGGTTACTAAAAATAGAAATTTCTGTGAAATTCTTTCAAAATGCTACTCCTCCTACAGTTTTGGTCTGATTTCAATATTACTTGGCACAAAAGTAGACTACACTAAGATACATAATTCTGTGCATCGGTTTTTGATTTCGATGAACGGTGTTGCCGTGGTTACTAAAAATAGAAATTTCTTTGAAATTCTTTCAAAATGCTACTCCTCCTACAGTTTTGGTCCAATTTCAATATTACTTGGCACACAAGTAGACTACACTAAGATACATAATTCTGTGCATCGGTTTTTGATTTCGATGAACGGTGTTGCCGTGGTTACTAAAAATAGAAATTTCTTTGAAATTCTTTCAAAACGCTTCTCCTCCTACAGATTTGGTCCGATTTCAGTATAACTTGGCACACAAGTAGACTACACTAAGATACATAATTCTGTGCATCGGTTTTTGATTTCGATAAACGGTGTTGCCTTGGTTACACAAAATAGAAATTTCTGTGAAATTCTTTCAAAATGCTACTCCTCCTACAGTTTTGGTCCAATTTCATTATAACTTGGCACACAAGTAGACTACACTAAGATACATAATTCTGTGCATCGGTTTTTGATTTCGATGAACGGTGTTGCCTTGGTTACTAAAAATAGAAATTTCTTTGAAATTCTTTCAAAATGCTACTCCTCCTACAGATTTGGTCCGATTTCAGTATAACTTGGCACACAAGTAGACTACATTAAGATACATAATTCTGTGCATCGGTTTTTGATTTCGATAAACGGTGTTGCCGTGGTTACTAAAAATAGAAATTTCTGTAAACAATTTTTCAAAATGCTACTCCTCCTACAGTTTTGGTCTGATTTTGATATAACTTGGCATACAAGTAGACTACACTAAGATACATAATTCTGTGCATCAGTTTTTGATTTCAATGAGCAATGTTGCCATGGTTACTAAAAATAGAAATTTCTGTGAAATTCTTTCAAAATGCTACTCCTCCTGCAGTTTTGGTCTGATTTCAGTATAACTTGGCACACAAGTAGACTATACTAAGATACATAATTCTGTGCATTGGTTTTTTATTTTGATGAGTGGCAAGGATCATTTTTAGGTCACCTGAGTAAACTCAGGTGACCTATTGCTATCTGTTTTCGTCCGTCGTCGTCCGTCGTTCGTCGTCCGTCGTTTGTCGTTCGTCGTCCGTCGTGTGTTAACATTTGAACATTTTCAGCTTCTTCTCTGCAACCACTGAACCAATTTCCACCAAATTTGGCACAAAGCATCTATGGGTGAAGGGAAACAAAAATTGTGAATTTCATGATCCCTGCCCCCCTGGGGCCTGAGGGGTGGGGCCAAAACCACTAAAATTAAAAAAAAATCTTTAAAAATCTTCTTCTTTACTTCTGGACATCAAGCAGTCAAACTGTTTGCATGATTGTAATCAGCATTGAGTCCTTTACCAAAATTGTGAAATTCATGGCCCTGGGGTCAGGGGTTCTAGTGCTAGGGCGGGGCTAAATAAGTATATAGTGAAAATGCATTATTTCTTTGGAAATCTTTTTCTCTACTCCTGGGTATTAAATAAACCAACTAAGTACATAGTTATGATGAGCAAGAGTGCCTCTACCAAAATTGTGAATTTTATGGCCCCAGGGTCAGGGGTTCTGGTGTTAGGGGGGGGGGCTCTATTGATTATATAGTGAAAATACATGAATTCTTTGAAAATCTTCTTCTCTGCCCCTGGGTATTAAATATACTAACTAAGTGCATAGTTATGATGAGCATGAGTGCCTCTACCAAAATTGTGAATTTTATGGCCCCAGGGTCAAGGGTCCTGGTGTTAGGGGGGGGGGGGGCTCTATTGATTATATAGTGAAAATACATGAATTCTTTGAAAATCTTCTACTCTGCTCCTAGGTATTAAATAAACTAACTAAGTGCATAGTTATGATGAGCAAGAGTGCTTTTACCAAAATTGTGAATTTTATGGTCCCAGGGTCAGGGTTTCTGGTGTTAGGGCAGGGCTCTATTGATTATATATTGAAAATACATGAATTCTTTGAAAATCTTCTTCTCTGCTCCTAGGAATTAAATAAACTAAGTACATAGTTATGATGAGCAAGAATGCCTCTTTTAAAATTATGAATTTTATGGCCCCAGGGTCAGGGGTTCTGGTGTTAGGGAGGCGGGGCTCAATTGATTATATAATGAAAATACATTAAATCTTTGAAATTTTTTTTCTTTGTCTCTGGGTATAAAGCAGATGAACTACCTTTATAGTTATGATGAGCAAGGGCCCTAATCTTGCAGAATTGTGAATTTCATAGCCCCAGGGTCAGGAATGGGGGCTCTACTTATATACTGATAATGAATTTATTGTTTGAAATCTGCTCTTTTGTATTATAAAACATTTATTTATTTTTTGATATTAAGGGTGCCTTTTTGAAATTTGTGTAATGTGTGGACCTAGGGTCAGGGGTTTATGTCACAGGGTTAGGGGCACTACTGGTTAGTTGGAATGCATTTTTGTTCCCCTACCCTGCATATGGGTATTCAGTAACCAAGCTAAGCAACTGCTAAGTGTATTGTTATGATGATCAATGGTGCCTCTTTCAAAATTGTGAATGTCATATAGCATCTGGCTTAAAACATGAATCAAATTCAATAACTGGAAAATTGTTGCATAATGCTCAGGTGACCTATAAGGCCCGTGGGCCTCTTGTTTATTTATTGCTGATTTAAAGTCTCAAGTCCCAACTGCTACTTTTCTCTTCCTTTGTTTTAAGTATAAACCAGTAGAGCTACAGTCTCGACAGAGACTTCTGGTTGAATATCATTGTGTATAATTTATCAGCTTCTTCAAAATGTTATATTGCCTTGGACAAGAATTACGTGTATACATGTATACTGTATGCTTTAATGAATTGTTATTGGACAATGGACCTCATCTGTGACAATTTTTCTAAAGACAGCAAGTACAATACTTGTTGTACATTGTATATATTTAATAATAATCTCTTATGTAGGGTGTAGTTTACTCCAAGACGGCAGCAGCTAACTATAGTACTGATATATTGGGGCAGTACATTCCTCATATACCTGCTAAACGTTTAGGGACCCCTGCAGAGGTAAGTGCTAACTAGAAAACTGACCAGTCAGCAAGGGCCCCGCCATGAGGTAGAATTATAAGGGTGCAGCTTATGGAATGATTTAAGAAATACATGACGAATAAGAAACAGCAACTGTATTCTTAAAATTTCAAGATAATTCCCGAATGTCCAAAAACCTGTAAATAATATCCTTGTATTTATTTTACATAAGGCAGTAAAGAACAACTCAACACTGAATGTATATCTAAATAATAGTGAAGCTTTTGTTATATAAAATGCCAGCCTTCAATGAATGCAAATACATATCATGAGGGCTTGACCTTAACTTCAAAACAAACAGCAGTTGCAGACAAAGGTTTTCATTAATCTTAAAGTGACAGATAAAGATAAGCCTTCTAAATTTCCTGCAGCAGGCTAGATAATTAATCCCAAGGGATTAATTGTACTTCTCTCTCATCATTTTCTTCTTAATTTATAATAAGAACTTTTTCAGCAATGATAGAATGATCGAGGTTTTTATCCAACTGCCTTAAAAATTAATAATATTCTTGAATTTTCATGAAGAAAAAAAAAAGAAAAAAAATAAACAAATAAAAATAAAAAATATATCTTCTTTAATCTATTTCTTCTTTTTCAAAGTCAATGAAATTAAAACTCATCGTGTAGGCTATTTCAACAAAAATAAAGTAAAAACATTTATACTTCAATCCACATTTCATAGTGTTCATAGCATTCCAAATGGACTTAACTTCAAAACAAACTTCATTTGCAGACAGAGGTGGTAATTAATCTCAATGTGACAGATAAAGATAATGCTTTGGATTTTCTTCAGGAGGAAAGCTAATTAATCCCAAGGGGCTCATTCATTGCAGTATTCAGTTTACAACATTTTCAGAAGTTATCTCTCTTTCCCAATTCATTCTTATATAAAGTTAAGGAATCTACCCCACCACCCCAGCTCCAAACCAGAGGACATAGAGAAACAAACTTAGCATTAAAATGTCTTTTTGCCTACTGAACTACCATACCAAATTTGAACTTAATTGGGCTACCATAAAAAAAGTTGAAAGGAAAAAACAGAAAATTTGTGGACGGAAGAATGACAGACGGACAGACAGACAGACAGACAGAGTGATTACTATAGGGCACCCGCAAATCCTTGCGGGGCCCTAATAAATCATCTCCAAATGCTAATAATAACAAAGTTTAAGCTTACACATATCTTTTTAAAAAAAATCAGTTGATGCTTATTTTTAACATTACATCTTTAAGGTATCAGCAGCTGTCTGCTTCCTTCTCTCACCTGCTGCTGCTTTCATTTCTGGAGAATCTCTTAAAGTAGATGGCGCTGCCAGTTTATATAGTTCACCTTTTCAAATACCAGGTTTGTGAAAATTGAACAAAGGATTAACATAATAATATCATGCAGATTTTTTTTTAAATTTGAAGGAATTTTTATTTCTAACTCATGGTATTATTTAAAAGCTTCAGTAGTTTGTAGTACATTGAATTAAGTACATTGTACTGCTACTATTATAAAGATAATCTATTTAAATAGCTAGCTAAAGTATTTGATATTTACATGAAGAAATGTTCCTTCAGCTCAAAGTTATCTTGGGGAGATAATGAAGTATTCGAGCTAAACATTACAAAATAGGAGTGGAGTAAACATTGACCTCCAAATTATTACAAGGTGGGATCTGGTGTCATGGAGGAGTGATCATACCCTGCTGACAAGTCACACCTGTCATGTGATGTTCCTTGTCATGTTTTGGGAAAAAAAGCCTGAAAAAATCCTTTAGTAATTAATGGCCTACTAATCAGTATGAAAAGATGTCAACCAGCATTTTGACTCAATGATAAATTAATATATTTGCTGACAAGGTCATTGTATCAACCCTAGAAATGAATACTTAAAAGGACACAATGAGTTAAAATCATGTTTTTCTTTTAAGATATCTGTAGCATGCAGAAAAAGACTTATAAAAATTATGAGTATATAGCTAAGATATGACAATTAACAATTTAAGTGCCAGATAAACAAAGGTTGTATCTTTCGTTTAGTTGTTTTCGTGTATGTCAAGGTCTCGCCACTTTTATTTTTAGCTCAAACTTGTAAACTACATTCAACTGGAGCATGCAAAGGTTAGAAATATGTTCTAACAACTCTTTAAAATGATTACATCAAAATTTTTGGTCTGCTTACATTCATTCGTGGATACTTGAGACCATGGTAACTATGGAAACTTATTCAACATTTTTATGCGCACGCGTTTCATAGGGAGGAAGAAGTTCCAGGGTATTTTGCAATATTTTAATTATGGGGCATACTGAAATTATTTTACTTTTATTTTTCTACTTAAAAGTAGAATTTTTAGGTTCTGAATCCTGTAATTTTCTGAAACCTAATATTTTTAGGTATTGAACAAAATTTACATGGGTCATGCAAAACTTCTATATTTGTGCATCACTGTGTCTCTTTAAATCAAGACTGCTGTTATTATTGCTTCATCAAATCTTAAATCGTTTTAGAAATTGTTCATATGTAGCACAAATGTTAGCCATTCTTCATAGGCGTTGGAACCGGGGGGCTAAGTGCCCTTCCCCCATCCCGCTTCTTTTGCAAAAATACACATCATATAGGCATTGAAAATTGGGATTTACCTATTTTTGTTGGTTTAGCCCCCTCTTTTGATTAGCCCCCCCCCCCCCTTTCAATTTGTTTCTGACACCCATGTTCTATGGATGTATATTTTATAAACTCGTGCTAGTCTGCAAGAAATAAATAAACAATAATTTCATATCTCTAGTCTTTGTTCAATATAATATTGATTTCAATAGACAGCTTTATTTTACTGCATATTTCTTGTAGATCACAAGAATTTACCAGCATACGATTGGGAAACTGGAGATCCAGAAAACACATCAAATAAACCAAAGTTATGATAGTAAAGTGAAGGCAAAGACAATCTAATATATATTTGTGAGAATAAGAATGCATGAATTTATGGTAAATTTAACGCTGTTAATAAATTTAATGGTTGTAGAAAAGGTTCTATTGTTCTTGTTTACATTTTTTACAGGTATCCCCATGTTGAAATTGATCCAATGTTATGCCCTTGCATGCCTTTACTGGCTTTAGTTATTCTGGCAGAAATTGGAATTGTCAAATGCACCTTCAAATGTTCAATTCAAAAAAGAATTTTGAATTGTAAACTCATAACAAAAACAATCTATAATAATTATTCTTTTTAATTTATATTTCTTCAGTTAGTTTGGGTGGGTGATAATTTACAACCTATGTACAAAATTTACTAGGACAATGATAATACTTGACAATAATATCTTCAATCAAAGTAATCAAAACAATACTTTGTATATCAAACAACTAAAATAAAATTAATAGCTAGTAGTATCATGTCATACTCATAACAATATAATTACTTTCTGTTACATTGTTCTTACTTTTCTGCACAAACAATTCAAGTAAGAGCAAAAGCAAATGAAAAGCCCTTGTTTAAATATATCTGGTACACACACCACAAAAATTAAAACATAATTAAAATATACAGGATTGCACTGCATTGCCATCAATTTACAAATTTGTTAAAATAATTTTTCTAGTGCATGTCAACATTGTAGCAAGTAGGTAGATGGTTTTTAAAATAACAGATCATTTAAGCAAACACTTGACAGAAAGATACAATAACTAAAGTTTAAAATGCAAAGTTTATAAATGAGCAATGATGATAAAATGAAATTTGATTCAGTTAGCAGGACTCCTTGATGGAGATTTGTCGTTCTGCTGCCCATTTCTTGGTGGAGATCCACTCCCCGATTTACTCTGTGGTGACCTACTTTTTGACTTGCTTGGTGACCTAGATCTTGATCGTTTGCTGGATCGCCGGGGGCTGACAGAGCTTGACCTCCTTCGTCGCTGTCGGCTGTGAGATCTACTTCGGCTGCGTCTCCTTCTGTCTCGAGATCGAGATCTGGACCTAAATGTAATAAAAATGTTCTCATTATGCATCTTTTTTGTCATTCCTGACTGCATCGTTGGAAACACATGGGTGATCTCGTCTTTACTTATCACCTGTGGACAAACTCGCTGAAAAATCGTCTTATGTAATTAAATATGCATGGATCATTTGATTGGCCGCACCACAGGATCGCGAAGCCAAAACAACGAATCCCAGTTCACGTTACATATGCATGTTCGGCGTTGCCAAAAACATGAAAAACTCATTCCGTAGTTAACACAGCTGATACATCCACTCACCGGTGCATTTTGCAGTTAGGAAGAGGTACTCATGTATAATATCTGATGGATTTTAATGTCAGTGACCTGTACGAATTGACTTTCATTGTCTTACATCAAACTTTGCACGTTTTAACAAGCGTCAAAATATTTACCATAAATAGCAAAGTAATAAAAGTACTTTTCAAAATTGAAGAGTTC